TTGTTTTGTTTGAAATGTGCTCTGCGGGAGTATTTCAACGATAATCANAAGGTCGATAACGAGGCCGGCCAGTCACGTGACACCTGATGCGAGAGAACTGCAGTATGATTTGAGCTCTCGTCACACCTCCCTCCTTTCAAAAGAATGAAATCGGTCACACCACTGCTGATTCATAATTTCGATTCTTGGGTTTACTGACCAGTCTGCGTTTTGGAGCACGAGTTCGAGTTGAGTGCCACCGGTGAGTTTGATTAAGTGCTGTAATCTGTGGAGCTGTGTTCCTAATCCGGTGGTCAACCAGTAAATCCATGGATATAGAGGAGCGTTGCGTCAGGTCTTGTCACCCGGTCCTAGGTCTAAGTTGGTTGATATGCCTAGTCCATACGAAATGTCCCACTCTGACTTTATAGGTGACTGAACCATTTGAATTTATAATCTCTCCGGGAATCAAGCTCAACAATCCTTCGAGAAAATTACATACATAAAAATGATCTCCTGCGTTACAATTTCCTAACCTGACATTAGGATATTTAGCTGTGTGCGATTCTCCAATAAACAAATATTTACAGACAGTAGGGTACACACTTGTCACCAGAAAAGCATGGAAAGATTGCTGAGAGAACAATCGAAGCTTGGAATATTGAAAATAAGATGTACTACGAAGGCCTAGTAACAGATACTTCACTTGTTTTTGATTGGGTATTTTCTGCGGAATACCGTTTCACTGACGAATCAAGCCGAAAACCACGTAGGTACATATAACCTGGACTGAATCATCAACTGTGCCCTAATTTTGCGACTTCATTGTAGCCGCATTCGTGGTAGATCACGGTGAACTCCGTGCACTTTATTCGGTGGTCACCCTTGCATTGCAACTAAATTGGGCAATACTTAAAACAGAAATTCGGTGATTGGATTAGAAAAAAACAGCCCAAAGGAAAGTTGAGCACGTTCAGAATAAATGGACACCTGAAACGTAAGACTTTAAAAAAAGATCGAAATTTATCGGATACACAAAGACTGCGTGATAATGTCTAATTTGAATTGCGTTTAAAAAAAAATGAAAGGTAATAATAGGTAGTGGGAATAAGTAATGAAAGTAACGTAGTTTTCATCGATCTCGTTTATTTTTTGATTTTTCGTATTGCTTGAAAGTATATAATACTGACTAACATGCTATTTCCCAGTTTCTGAAATTTATCCACTTCATCGAATTTACGAGGGATGCGACATAAGTTGAAAAATTATGGTGCAAATTTCAGTGGGCTGTGAGAAACAACTTTCAACTTCTCACTGACAATAAAGTTTCCGCGTCTATCATCTCGCTGGATTAAGAGCAGATAATATTGTTGTGCACCTGATACAGATCTATCAAGTGGTGTGCAATTCGTGAAACTCACACCATAAATTGCTCTTACAACCGTATCTACAAGACGTGATCCGCAAAACAGATTATTTTTGCAGGACAATATACCGTGTTCGATAGGCATCACTCGATGTATGCAAGCTTCCGGTAGGCAAAGATATACTTGAATTCACTGATGATTCCCAGGGAAACATTTGAGAAAATACGAAATAACGAACAAGCTCGTTTTGAATAACTTCCTCATCCGGTTAATACAGTTATGTAAATAGGTAATAGGCACAAACATTTGCATAAAGTTTATCGTGTGTGCGGATTTGATTGATAGATATAACCAGTTATTTGTGGATGGGAATAGGGCTGTCACATGAGGGTTGGGACCGAGTGAAGGTTAACCATCAGCTGTTTGGGTCATAGAGCTAATCCAAGGGTTCAGGGGGTCATGGAAAAAGGCAGCTCCAGTCATGCGACTGAATGCACATCGGACCCATGGCAGTTTAACGATGAATGAATTAGGAATGGGCCGAGTTGCACAAACTGATTATTGATTTACGTCCGATTTTTTGCATTACGTAACATGATTGTTCGTGAATAAATAGCACTTGTCTCCGAAAGCCTTAGTAAGGTCGGGGGTGGGTGTTTAGCTTTGCGATTGGTCACCCTTCCCTTGCACCTCGCGAAATGCTTCCATACGACCAAGTGTCTCAAATAGCCTCTGCTGAGGAGGCTCTACTCACTGCCTTCTCGTGCTGGTGAAGGTGTTTCCCACCAAAGTGAGAAGACAAAAAGCCGACATCCGGGACTAAAACCGGGTTGGTGAACGACTGGTAGTTCACCTAGGGGAGTTGGCCGAAAACCCTGATTCCAAACCAACCAAGAAGAAAGGTATGAACGACACACACGACTCCCTGGTTGTGACAGTGGTCACCGGCTCGATTGAGCATCGAGGTGGGATGTTTGACCCCTTCCAAAGGGTGTATGATCCGATTAACTGGACACCGGCCCTCAGTGAATTGCGGTTTTCACACACCACCCCGGTCCCTTGCGGGTCAGGCTTTGGCTGGCCAAAGGCTCCCGTTGTGGATTCCCCAAGAAAATTCACCTGCCTTGGCCTGGGCAACCTGGAAGTATTCCACCCACATGCAAATTATGGAACGTTTTTCTTTTTCATCAAGATTGTACCATGATTTGCTTGGCACACAGTCTGGATTCAGACATGTGTGGAGAAAAATATAAATAAATATACTTGCAAACAACCTCAAATTAGACATTTTTCAATCCACAACTAACATCCGGATTGCCGACTGGTTGATATTATACGCATACACTTCGTATCTGCCTAAAAGTAGCCCGTGGAGACGTAATCCGAAGCAACAGTGAGTTTTCACCATCGAGTGTTTTTTTTATCTCTGCGAGGTGAAATAGCGGAAACAGTAAAATAGCTGACAATTTCCCGGTATCTACATTGTGTGTTGGCGACACATTACCATTTTACCATTTCATAAATTGATTCTGTCAGCATGCCCGATTCACTTAACTCTCCAACTCTTGCGGTATCTTTAATTTGGATATTGCACCGTTTTTTTTATCAAACTGCGAAGAGCAAAAAATAGTGAGGGTCTTTTTTCAGGTGAGGCATTAGGACCCCATTAATATGAATGTCTATAGAGAAACAACGTGCGCGCCAATTTCCGCTGTGCTCTCCTGATACAAACATCGCCACTTCGGTGATAACGGAACTCAAATAATCTGACTTTCTCTGTACAATAGATGTTATCGCTCGTTTCCAATGTCACACAGAAATATGTATGCGATTTTACACTCCGAGTAAAATGCAGGCGTGTCACCAAACCACCAGATATTACCATCTTCAGTTATGAGCGTCACTGAACGGAATACGGTAAACTGTATTTGTCTTTTATTTCTTTTTTAACTTCCTTTTTCTATTTATTGAATATGCAAATGTACAGTAAACATCCAGGAAAGGGGGTCGAAACAATACAAAGGCTGCCTGGGAAAATACGGAGATAGGGAAGACGGGCGGCGTTGGAGAAGCTCGAACCCGGGACTACCAGGTCATAAGTTGGTGACCTAACCACTTGGACACCACTGCCTACCGTCTGTGCGTTATCGACGGTTTGATCAACGTGATTTTGTAGAGTATTAATTACACCAGTTAGAGTGTGGGAAGAAACGAAGATCAGGATTACATCTATGCCCCCCCCCCCCNNCCTCGCCGGAGCATTTCCTGACAACGGAATCCGGCATAACGTAATTGGTCACAATGCAAATTTACGGTTGGTTGATTGGATGGTAGTGCAAGAAACAGCAATCAAACCCGGCGCACGGAATCCTAGATCTAATAACAGTACACCATAAACTTAGTGAAGTTTGCTTAGTATGGTTGTACCTGCATGAGCGGAAGGAACGACTACGTTCCGAAGATTACTGGTATGTGAATTCATTTGGCCGTTTGAGTCTTTCCAATTGGATAGGCAGTTTGTCAACCAAGCAACAGCTTCTATTTTCGGTGCGCCAATTGATGACTATTGAGTACAACTGTCTTTCCTAGACCTTGCTCATTTTTCTAGTGAATGCGAGCTGGGCTGTGTATGTGTGTGCACCGTCAACGGGAATGTCGCGGTAGACAACTGAAAATATAAACGGAACGAGTAGATAACCAAAATACCCTGGCTGCTTTGCTGTTGCAGAACCACCGTCTCATCAGGGACCAAGGTCCATTGATGGGTTCAGCGGCATTCCACGCGAGAACGGAAATGGTTGTATCAGCAAGATTTGAGCACAAACACACAGGTGTCGTTTCCGTTAACCAGTACAGAGCATTTTACCACTAATGTCGTGAACCGCTGGTTCAACAACTGTGGTATTTAGGTCATCCACATGGACACGACTTGATCTCAGATAGTGCGAATGCCTTTTTCAGATAGCAACTTCCGTATCATTTGTATTCACCTTTCTGGTGAACAATGCAGCAATAAAATGAGTGAAATCAACAAGCATAAGAGGATACACCGGATGGCGCGGATAAACGACAACCTACATAGAGATTTGAAATATTAAAGCATATTGTAGGTATTTCCCGATATTTATTTATTTTTCACACACATTTGAGTTCAGACTGTACGTCAAATAAATCACGGTACAATAATCCTTATAAAAATAAGACAGGTCCATGATTTGCTAGAAAGCGCGATGCCGCTAGGTAACCGAAACTAAAGCAGTGGAATTTTCTTACGGAATTGACAATCGAAGCCTTCGGCTAACCAAAGCCTGACCCGCAAGGTAGTGGGCGGTATGTGAAGACCGTAATCCCTTGGGGGCCGGTGTCCAGTTTATCGGGTCATACGCCCTTTGGACGGGGTCAAACGTCCAAGATGCCCAATACACCTCGATGCTCAATTGAACCGGTGATTACTGCCACAACCAGGAAGGTGTGATTTGTATGCCTCTCGTTTGTTGGTTTGGATTCAAGGTTTTCGCCTAATCCCTTAGGTGAAATGTCAGTGGTTCACCTACCCGGTTGGTCTCGGATATTAGCTTTTCGTCTTCTCACTATGGTACGAAAACACCTCCACCACATGAAAGCATTGAGTAGAACTTCCTCAGCAGAAGCTTTTTAAGACGCTTGGTCGCATGAGAGCATTTCGCGAGGTACAACGGGAGGGATGATCAGTCGCAATTCGATAAACCCATACCCATGCTGAGGTTTTCCGATGGGAAAGTGGCATTACTGCACAGAAGGCGTAACAGCCTACCAACTGCAACGGACTGTTTATTATGTGCTTGGATAAATAAGCCGAGCCGACCGGGATTAAGTTCAACTAACCACAATGGACACAAGATCAGGATGACGGACATTCTCCAATTAGTAAAATGAACTGAACGTAAAAATTTGTAAGGTTTGGTAACCGCCAGCAATATTTTATCGTGAGTACTTGTATCTCACTGGACCGTTTTGGTTCATCGTTTTATTTACCTTGTCTAGCAGGTCTGTCTTTAACCCCGAGTCACGGAAGACCTGTCTGAAAGTGATTCCTCACCACTCTGTGTCCCGATCGTATCGTCCTACTGTCGTTCGTCGCCCACAAAGCTTCTTATCGTCTCAAGTTGTGAGAATACAAGCCGAGGGACATCCTGTTACGCATTTCTGTTTACTCCGTTGGGTTGAGAAAGCATTATATATTCTCCAAATTAGGGAGAGGGTGGAAAATACGGGGAATTCTTTTGACTGAAACTCAGTCTTTATTAGGGCTGACCTCCAAACTGTCGAACAGTGAAATCTGTTCTGTAAGGCATCACAGATTTCAATGACCGGATGAAACCGAAAACCGCAATGTTAGTGGTGTACGTCAGGGTTGCCCTCTCTCTCCTTTTCTATTTACCTTTGTTATAGATTTGATCATGGAAACAGCCCTATCCTCGTGCGAGGATAGTGGTTTCGATTCACTCCCAGGTGGTAGGCTGTCTGATCTAGAGTATGCTGACGACACTGTGCTGCTAGGTGAAGATCCAGGTAAGTTGCAAGCATTTCTGGATAAGCCTTTTTGTATAGCTTGAATGCTAACGCAACTATGTTCGGTATGGGTTTTGCACCCTAAAAGTGTAAAATGTTACGACAAGACTGGATTGGTCCAGCACCCAGCCTCACTCTAACTAGGGAATGTTATAGAGCAAGTGAATAACTTTTGCTATTTTGGACAGCTATATCTCACCCGATGGACGCATCACAGATGATGTGTCAGCTCACATACAGAAGGCTCGGTTGGCATTTTCCAACTGGAGACATCTGTGGCGCGGTCGCAACAACTGGCTGTCTGTGAAGGGTCGAGAGTATGCCACGGCAGTTCCGCCAGTTCTGCTATACAGCGCAGAAACTTGGTCATTAAGAAAACAGGATTAAGATAGACTGTTGGTGATCGAACACCGCTGTCTACGCAACGTTGGTGGGTTAACCGGACTAGTAATGTTGTGGTTAGGCGCAGAGTTTTAAGCAGTCACTGTCATACTGGAGCAAGTGATCGACCTCCATAGATTACGTTGGTTGGGACATGTGTTACGCATGTCGCCAGACAGGTTACCACGGCAAGTGATGTTTGCCGAGGCAGGTGGCGTTTGGAAAAAGGCTAAGGGTGTTCCAACGGGGATCTGATCTGAGGGTATGAGACCCTAACCAGGAGACTGGATTACATAGGTCCCTTTAGGCTGCCTGGCTGGAGACCCCGAGATTATGATCACTTATGGTTATAGACACAGTGATGTGACTCATTGTCGCAAACAGTGGCGCTCATGCATCTACTCATTATTCTTGTAACATCAGTCTATGTGACTTTGCTATCTTCCGCTTGAATTTACTCTCAACACTCTAATCTCCATTCTGCTCTTTTATCCAAATGGGCAACCAAAACCGGCGTACGGAAGTTCCTGGTTAATAGTTGTAATAACTGAACTAATTGCGAGCGCACCATGCATAACACTCACATTATATGTCCGTAATACATCAGTACGCTATAAGCCACTGAAGTACGCTCTGCCTTGGCCTGGACAACCTGGCAGTATTCAGCCCACAAGCCCCGCTGCCTTGTGGGTCAGGCTTTGGTTAGTCAAAAGCTCCGGTTGTGGAATCCCCAAGAAAATTCACCTGCCCTGGCTTTGGGCAACCTAGCAGTATTCGACCCACTTGCAAAGCGTGGAGCGTTATTCTTTTATAAAGATTATTGTACCACGATAATATGACACCTTTTATTTGACCAGCAAGTAATATATGTCACATGGAACGACAGAGCTGACATTAGATACCTGTCAACAATCGTTCAAGTACAATAAGGCTCTAGTATTCGGAATAGAGACAACACTAAAAGGTGTCACTTCATCATTTTTGCATATGCACCAACCAACTGCAGTCCCAGTGCATCAAAGGATGGGTTTTACGACAAACGTAATGAACTCAACCAACTGAATAGCAGTTCTGATTTGAGCGCACGGGCTGCAAAACTGAGCACAACCGCAGTTTGTATTGGAGGACTCTTGCCCAGTGAACGGACAACAGCAACCGACCGCCTTATTCTTGCGCAGAACACCGACAGTTCTTATCTAGCACGAAACTTTCGACACAGCACTCAACGGACGACAACACGATGGTCTAGTGCTTCGGGAACGTTGGGCGAAATAGACCACATACCTGTAAGCTACCGTCGGAGTCAATCAGTATCAAACTGCATATCCTACTGGAACAACTGCGTTGAAGATGACCACATACTAGTCATGATAGGCTTCCCGTTTCGACTCATGGGTCATCGGCAAAAGCAGCAATCTCAGTCAGCTACTCATCGTCTCCATGGTCCAATATTTTGCGTCCGCCATGAGGAGGAGCTTAGACAGTACATAAAAGCACTGCAACTTGGCGGAATTGATCAACAGTGGAATTAAATCAGACGTGTAAAGCATTCAGTATTGCTTGTGAATCCGAGCCCAAAGTTCGTCGGAGACGGACGGCATTTGCAACGTTAACTTAAGAAAAACCTGGAG